ACAGAGATGAGGGATGGGGGCACGGATCAGTCACCGAGGTTTATGCCGGGGATCCCTGCTGAAACAAAGCCATGGGAAAATGGTGATCCCATGGGAGGGCGATGCCCAGGCTTCTGTGCTGGGCTGACCCCACCCTGAGTATTGCATGGGATGAGAAACAGAGGCACCTCCCTAGCAAATTTCCTAGTGGTATGTGCCACTGTGTATCCCAGAGGTGGCTACAGACGCCCTCGCTAGTAATCGCACCTGACACATGCTCTCGGCCAGCTGACCGGTCCTCGCTGCTACTCACAACATCAATTAGCTCTTATATAACACGGCGTTATTAATACGATGCTGCAGTGCCTTTCATCCAGGCTGCATTATGCTGCTTGTAAAATTTGCTTGGCCGGTATTGTTATGCCCTTCCTACAGATGGGGAAACTGAGACACAGTCCCAGCGTCTCTTGGCAAGCCAACAGTAGAGCTGGGATTAGAACTCTGGACTCCCAAACCCCGCCCTGCTCTAACCACTAGACCACACTCCGCTCCCCGAGCGGAGAATATGACCTGACTCCCAATCCTCCCTGCTCTAACCGCTTTACCTCCTTCTGTGTAAATGCAACCAGCCTAGGATCCAAGAGCAGCTAACCTTAGTCCACAGGTGTCTGCTGGGCTCCCCAAGGGCTCAGGGCGTTCATACACCAAAGCCTCTGCCCTGAGGAGATCTGTGCGCCCTGGATGCTCTGTTCTCCCAATGGGAAAGGGGCTTCATCCCTCTGATGCTTTTATAACAATCGCCCCGACACCCCACCCCACCCTGGCTTGAACCCAGAGTCTCCAACACAGCCACCCAGGCCCCTCTGTCACTGGGACTGCAGGAGGAACTCCATCCCCCGGCAGCAGTAGGCTATTATGCATTAGCAGACCAGCCACCAGAGAGGGATGCGAGACAGGCTTTTCCACTTCCCCCAGGAGAGGTCTGGGCCCTGCAGAGGGAGAGGACAAGGGAGGTGTTAGGCTCAGGGTTTCATGGTTACTTGAATCTCCCATTGGCCGGGAGCTATCTGTGGTCACTTGCCTGGCCCCCATGACATAGTATTTGAGCACCACACACTGTCAACATATTTATCCTCAGTGCCCCCATGTGAGGCCAGAGTATCAACCTCACTGGGGAAACTGAGGCACAGAGCGACTAAGTGACGAGTCCCGGGTCACACAGGGAGTCTGTGGAATCAAACCAAGTCCTAGGCTAGCGTGCTAACCACTGGATCATCCTGCCCCTCCAGTAACATGTTCACATCCCAGTTGGGGCTTGGTCCCCTGGCTGGGCACTGAACAGCTATGGCAATATCCCTCCACCACAGCCCCCACCAGCGTGCGGGCACCTACCCTGCCAGCGCCGGCCCTTTCCAAGGAGACACACACACCCAAAGGGAAACCAAGAGCCTCGTCTGCATGACAGCAACTCACCTGGCGTTAGGCAACAGCAGCCTCTGCCAGTAACCCCGGCACCTCCCAGTGCATCCACCACTGTCCACCTGCTGCTCCTGCATGGCGGCATTAGCCGGAGCCCTGGGGGCTAGCACATGTACCAGAACACTTGGACGTCTGCTAGCGTTGCCTTCCGAGATCCCCGGGCACTTCACCAGCCTTACGACACAGCCTCTACCCTCCCGGACAGCGACAAAGGGAAGTAGTAAACTGAGGCACAGAGAAATCACTTGCTCAAGCCCCACAGAGAGTGGAAGAGTTGGGGAAAAGAACCCAGGAGTCCTGACCCCCCAGTTCCCCCTTTGCTCTATCATAAGGTCACCCTTTCTCCCAGGGCCAGGGATAGAACCCAGGAGTCCTGCCGTCCAGTCTCTGCCCAATTCTGTCCACTGGAGCTTCCTCCCTCCCTCCCACAACCAGCACAGAACCTAGCAGCCCTAACACACAATCACCAGAACACACTCCCCAGGCCAGTGCTCAGAACAGAACCAAAGATTCCTACAACCCAGTCCACCGCTCCAACTGCTAGACCCTGCTCTCTTCCCAGCGCCCAGAGGTCCCAACGCTCAGCCCTTTGACCACACTCCCCCTTCTCAGCTCCCGGAAGGGGTCACACAGCTATGGTGCCGTGTCCCTAGATCTAGCCACTAGACAACACTGCTGCCTGCACTTAAAGCAGGTCTATAACGGGATGCAGGAGGGTGAAGAAGCACTGATTTTAGCCCTGGTAGCACTGACTCAGTGGGGAAACTGAGGCACAGAGGCTAAGTGACTTGCCCGGTTGCACAGCAGGGAAGTGAACCCAGGTCTCCCAAATGGCCAGGGCCGTAACCACTAAGCCATCCTGCCTCTCCAGGATTTCACTCAGAGCCCAGCCAGGGTTTGGTCCCCCCCACCCCAGGCCTAGCAATATCCCTCCACCCCAGTTTTCTGGGATCGGGGTGGCGTTGCCTGTAAACCTGCCTGGGACCTATGGTCCCTCCTCACAGCTCGGAGTCAAGCAATAGGCCACCAAGGAAAATGCCCCGCAGGGCCCTTGCCTATCCCAGCCCCTCGCTCTGTCCTCTGCACAGGGGAAGCATCTGTTGTCACAGGTGCCTGCAGCAGGGAGTTTGCAAGCATCAGGCAAAATTCTGTAAGCCGTTCCCCCCGTCCGGCATCCCTGGCCCCCCAGCGTGCTGGGCTCTGTGCCCCCCGAGGACAGCAGGTGGTGGGGCTAGTCATGCGGAAGGCGATTAAGAAGCCTCCCTCCAAAAGGCAGAGGAGCCAAGAACAGTAACTCGGAAACTGGACAGGCCGCCACAAGATCTATATTCACGGCGCAGAAATGAGCTTATGGTCAGACGCTCCCTGGTCTAGCACCATGCCGCAGCTACCGTGCAAATCACTTGCTGAAGGCTCTGGACAGAAGCAGCTGATGTTGTTTACCACTCGGGGAGAAAAGAAGAGGGAGGGAACAGCACAACCTGGAGAGACCAGAACTGTTAAAAAAATATCCGCAGGGACTTTACACCTCTCGGAACCTCCCGGCAAAAGGAAACCTTATGAGATGGATTACGGCAGCACCTAGGAGGGTCCCAGCTGAGATCAGGTCCCCTTTGAGAAACCATCCCTATCCTACAGAGATCACACATAAACAGGCCAGACAAAGGAAGAGTCATTGTCCCCACTGTGCAGATGGGGAAACTGAGGCCCAGAGAGGGGAAGGAATGGAACTAATCTCTCCTGCTGTAGGAGAGTGTCTTATCCACCAGGTCATCCTCCCTCCCTAAGCAAGAGAGTAAGACACAGAGCCCCGCTACCACCTGACTAGAGGACACGCTCCCTTCTGGCTGAGCAGTATAGGGCACATGACACACAACTGCACATTTCTGATCCCTGTTGGCAAAGGGCAATGTTGCATTAGTACACGTACACTGCAGCACCAAGGGAAGGGTCCTGGCTAGCACAGCTCTACAGCTGATGCACCAGGCGGGCAGAGGGGCACGGGAATAAAGCAAAACCAAGTCACAGCACACAGAATAAACAACACTAGGCCAGAGACCAGGTTGCCAAGTCAGCAAAATGGGACAGGACAAAGTGGAGCAAGAGGGAAAAAACTTCCCCCACCCATCTAGGTACCCCTGACAGAGGGATCAGCCTGTCCCCGGGTCCTTGGCCAGGCTGGGAAGTGCATGCAGGGTGATCCCTTCAAGCCATCCATCGCAGCCAGATGTGGTCCCAGTTTCCTTGCAGCGCCCCCCCCACTCCCATGCACCTACCAGCGTGATGCCTGCAGCGCTGCTCGGCCCACCTCCCCTGGCAGCTGCCACCGATGCCCACAGTACCCTGCTGACACCCGCTGGGTGCCATGACGCCCATGGGCCTCTGCCTGCCCCTTCCAGGGACGCCCCCTGCTGGCACTGCTCTCCAGCTTCCCCTGCTGCTCTGCCAGCCACCATGACGTCCACTGGCCCCCGCTGCTCCCCCTTGCTAACTGCCCCTCACCACTCACTGCCCTCACCAGTCATACCCCCTTACCACCCCCCTGTCCTCCCTGACAGCTGCCCCCGATACACACCGTTCCCTCCTGACAGCTACCCCCGCTCCCTCCTACTCCCTCCTGACAGCTGCCCCCGATACCTCCTGCTCCCTCCTGACAGCTGCCCCCGATACCTCCTGCTCCCTCCTGACAGCTGCCCCCGACAGCCTCCCACTCCACCCTCGCCAGCTGCCCCAATACCCCCTGCTCCCTCCTGACACCCCCCGCTCCTCCTTCCTAACTGCCCCTCACCAGTCATACCACCTTACCAACCCCACATTCCCTGCTGACTGCTGCCCCCAATACCCCCCGCTCCCTCCCGACAGCTGCCCCAATACCCCCCCTGCTCTCTCCTAACAGGTGGCCCCGATACCCCCCCATTCCACTTCACCAACTGCCCCGACATCTCCCGCTCCCCTTCCTAACTGCCCCTCACTCCCCACTGCCCTCACCAGCCATTGCCCCTTCCTACCCCCTGTCCCCCCGTGACAGCTGCCCCGATACCCCCCTGCTCCACCCTCACCAGCTGCCCCGATACTCCCCCCCCCCGCTTCCTCTGACAACTGCCCCGATACCCCCCCCCGGGGGTTCCCTCCTGACAGCTGCCCCCATTACCCCCCGTTCCCCTTCACCAACTGCCCCAATACCCCCGCTCCCCCACGACAGCTGCCCCGATACCCCCCCCCGGCTCCTGCTGACAACTGCCCCAATACCCCCCGGGGGATCCCTCCTGACAGCTGCCCCGATACCCCCCCCGCCCCCGGCTCCGCTCTCGCCAGCTGCCCCGATGCCCCCCCCGGGGGATCCCTCCTGACAGCTGCCCCGATACCCCCCCCCCCCCCCCCCGGCTCCGCTCTCGCCAGCTGCCCCGATGCCCCCCCCCCGGGGGTTCCCTCCTGACAGCTGCCCCGATACCCCCCCGCCCCCGGCTCCGCTCTCGCCAGCTGCCCCGATGCCCCCCCCCGGGCGCTCCCGGCCCGCCGTGCCGAGCTCCCCCGAGCCCCACCTCTGCCTGCTCCGTCCCGCGGCCGCTTGCCGCCGCCGGGCTCCATGGGCTCCGCTGCGCGCTGGGGCCGGACCCTCGGCGCCTCTGCCCGGGCAGGCGGGTGCAGCAGCCGCTGGGGAGGGAGGGACGCGCCGGGCAGGGGAGAGGAGTCGCTCCCCGAGGAGCGGCGGCTGCAATAGCCCCGCCCCGCCCCGCCCCCGCCCCCGGCCCCCCAGCCCCGCCCCCCTGCACCCCCAGCATCGCCCCACTGCATCCCTGCGCTGCCCAGGTCCCTGCCGCCCCAGCGTCTCCAGCTGCATCCTGCACCCCCCCCCATCCGCGTCCCCAGCCCTGCCCTGTCCCCCCAGCCCTGCCCCCCGACCCCAACATCTCCCCGCTGGATCCTTGCCCCCGCCCCATACTCCCCAGCCCCCCCCCCAGCCCAGCGTCTGCCCCAGGCTCGCGCCCCAGCCCAGTTCCGCACCCCCAAGCCCAGCATCTCCTCAGCCCAGCCCCGCAGCTCAGCCTTGCCCTACACCACTCCCACCCCAGCATCTCCCCCACTGCATCCTGCACCCCCAGCATTCCCCTGCATCCTCCCATCCCTGTCCCTCCCAGCATTCCCCCCAGCTCCGCATCCTCCACCCCAGCATCTCTTCGCTGCATCCCTTCCCCCCCCTCCCAGCATCCCCACCCTGCACCCACCACCCCAGCATCCCCCTGCACCCCCAACCCAGCGTCTCCCCACTGCATCCCAGCCTCCTCCCACCCCAGCATCTCCCCAGCCCTGCATGACCCTCGCAACCTCCTATCCCTCCTCTTGCCCCCTGCACCCCACAGCCGCCTTCCTTTTAGCCCAGCCCTGCACCCTCCCATCGCATCCCCTGCAGAACCTGGGGCTGAGCAGGAGTGTGGCCCAAGAACCCCTCAGAGAAAGGCTCCTGCCTGCCTCCCCAGCTCAGATTTTTTGTAGGGGAAGTCCACCCCCCGCCCCCCCGGCAATTCTCTGTTCCCTGGATATAAAGCTGCAGGCGCTGCCCATGCTGGGAACGTGGTTTGCGTGAGCTTCCTAGGGAAGCTGCGGTTTCGTGGTCACCGAAGGGAGTGGGGGGGGTCAGGACTTCTGGGTTTTAGTACAATCTCTGGAAAGAGAAAAAAGTCTAATAGTTAAAGTGTGGGGGGGGGGGCTGGTAGTCAGGACTCCTGGGTTCTATTTCTTGCTCTCCATGTGACCTTGGGGGAAAGCCTAGCTCTGTGCCTCAGTTTCCCCTTCCTCCCCCCCATGGAGACATTGCTGCTTACAGCCTCTTGCGGAGGGGCTGGGGAATGGCAAAGCACTGACAGACTTTGCTGTCTTCCCTAGTGCCAGTCACCCCCAGCTTCCAGGCCTGGGCACTCATGCTGCACAGAGCCCTGACTCATGGCCCTGAGAGGTGGGACAAAACTCATGAGGAGCCTCCACGCCCCAGCCCAACCTGCCCCTCCCTGCAGAAGGGACAGGAGCGAAACTGCCGGAGTCTTGTGATTGCCTGGCAGCAATGGGGGCTACGACTCATTGGTTCCCACATTGCTGCCCCTGCCCTCTGCAATCACCTCTCCAGGGCATTGAAGGACCCACGTGTAAATGCCGCAAGTGGCAGGGCTTCACCCCGACTCCATTTCCCCCTTGCCCCCCTGCCGCTTTCCCGCCATAGCTCTCCCCTAGGGACATCCTCCCACCCTCTCCCCACAGTGCTGGAGGGTGGGGTTCAGAGGTCACCCCCATCCTGTGCAGGGCAGCACGCAGCTCTGAACGTGGCGGGGAGGGAGTCCAGGCCCCCTCCAGAAGGGGATGCTCCTTGGACAAAACAGCAAAAGCCCCCCTAACTAGGGGGAAAGGGGTGGCAGTTCACCAGGGCCTTGACTGACACCGTCGCACAGAGGTGCGGCGAGGGGTCACAGAAACTCCCCCCCAGTGGCAGTGCAGGGCACTGCAACCTAGTAGGGGGCAGAGTTAAGGGAAAGGACCTAGGGGTGACAGTGGACGAGAAGCTGGATATGAGTCAGCAGTGTGCCCTTGTTGCCAAGAAGGCCAATGGCATTTTGGGATGTATAAGTAGGGGCATTGCCAGCAGATCGAGGGACGTGATCGTTCCCCTCTATTCGACATTGGTGAGGCCTCATCTGGAGTACTGTGTCCAGTTTTGGGCCCCACACTACAAGAAGGATGTGGATAAATGGGAGAGAGTCCAGCGAAGGGCAACAAAAATGATTAGGGGTCTGGAACACATGAGTTATGAGGAGAGGCTGAGGGAGCTGGGATTGTTTAGCCTGCAGAAGAGAAGAATGAGGGGGGATTTGATAGCTGCTTTCAACTACCTGAAAGGGGGTTCCAAAGAGGATGGCTCTAGACTGTTCTCAATGGTAGCAGATGACAGAACGAGGAGTAATGGTCTCAAGTTGCAGTGGGGGAGGTTTAGATTGGCTATTAGGAAAAACTTTTTCACTAAGAGGGTGGTGAAACACTGGAATGCGTTACCTAGGGAGGTGGTAGAATCTCCTTCCTTAGAGGTTTTTAAGGTCAGGCTTGACAAAGCCCTGGCTGGGATGATTTAACTGGGAATTGGTCCTGCTTCGAGCAGGGGGTTGGACTAGATGACCTTCTGGGGTCCCTTCCAACCCTGATATTCTATGATTCTATGATTCTAAGGGAAGAGGCATAGGGGCCTACATCCTCAAGGGAATCCCCCTCCCTGCCCCATGGCCTCGCTGGGCTCCCACTCATGGCCTGTCCACTGCAAACTCCCCAGGCCGCTGGGCGAGAGGGGCACTGGAAGGGCTGCATGGCAGGACATTTGGGTTCCCTTCCCAGCCTCATGGCCTGGGGCAAGTCACTTTGCCTTGACTGTGCCTCGGTTTCCCAGATGTGAAGGTGGGGGGACAGTAACACCCTGCATGGGGGAGGGGAAGCTCGTGGGTGTTTTAAAAGTGCTTTGAGATCCTTGGCTAGAGGAGGGCCTGGGGGGGCGTTAATGTCTCTGGTCGCCCCCTCTCCTTTCCAGCCCCCATGACCCGAGGCGCCGGCAGCACCCTTGATTTCCAGAGGGGCTGAGCACCCACAGCCTCCCCTGCCCCCGCACCCGGGATCCTCCCCAGGGACCAGGCCCCTTGACTGTTTTCCACGCGTGGCTCCCGGGAGCAGGGCTCGATTAGCCGGGCCTGGGCGGCCCTGTTACACAACCAACGCCGGTGCAGGAGGCTGGACCGGCCCGCGAGCCGCCCGCTCCTCCCCCCGCGCGCCACGCCGCCGCCGCGTGTCGGGCCCTGCCCAGCCGGGACCCGCCCCCGGGCGGCACGTGCGGGCAGCGTGGGCAAGGGCTACTCCGGATTTACACCGCCTCCCCCATTGCCTGCCATGGGCAACTGCGGATTTACACCACGTCCCCCATTGCCTGCCATGGGCTACTCCGGATTTACACCACGTCCCCCATTGCCTGCCATGGACAACTCCGAATTTACACCACGTCCCCCATTGCCTGCCATGGGCTACTCCGGATTTACACCACGTCCCCCATTGCCTGCCATGGACAACTCCGGATTTACACCACATCCCCATTGCCTGCCATAGGCTACTCCGGATTTACACCATGTCCCCCATTGCCTGCCATGGGCTACTCGGGATTTACACCACGTCCCTCCATTGACTTCCATGAAGCTACCCATTCATTTTCAGGGAGCTACTCCTGATTTACACCACATCCCTCCCGTCCCTTCCAGCAAGTTACACCTTGTTTACACTAGGGTAACTGAGAACAGGATTTGGACCCTAGGAAGTGACACAAAAGGCCACAGAAGTTACCCCACGTTAGCGCTACTGTTTTGGTTTTAATTGTCTTTTCCTTGGGGTAAAATTTGCACTGAAATGGCTGGGGAAAGGCCCTTGGATCCACCCTCCCAGACAGACATGTAACTTTAGACATTTGCCCCAGGTTGTGCAGGGATGGGAATAGTCCTGCACTGCCCCACCCCTTCACAGACAGCGTGGCACCCAGTCCCAGGGAATTAGGTGTCCCAGTAAAGCTGACATGGTCCTTTGCCCTGTCTCAGCCCCAAAGAGCAACCAGTGTAACATGGGGCAGCAAGTGTGGACTGGGGTAGGGTGGGGGGCAGGCCCTACTCCACCAGGCTGCTTGGAATAATCAGGATCACCTGTCTGTTCAGGAGACTCAATCCGCCACCCCCTATCCTGTTATCCTAGCCACTTGCAGCCTCCTGCTCCCCCAGCCGTGGTCTCTGCCCCACCCAGCCCCAGCCCACAGCTCTGCCAGCGTCCCCCCGGTCCCAACCTGCAGCTCTCGCTCCCCCACTGTTCCTGTGCTTGGCTTCGCTTCTGCTCTGTGATGCTCCTCAATCCCGACTTGCCTCCCTCAGTGTCCCTCATGTTATTGAACAGCCAGGGCTGGGCTGGGTCTGAAGGGGGATTCTGGACTGAGGCTGCTGGACACAGACAGACCCTGTGGTTCTCTCTGGCTCCCTGCTGCGGACGGATTCTGAGTCCAGGCTCGCACAAAGCACTGCTGTTTCCTTCGGGAGTGGGAAAGGGGGGTCTCCCAGGAACATCCCTTAGGACGATGCCCTTTGCCCAGTCCCACGCCCCTGCATGCCCCCACGGTTTGGCTAAGCAGAATCTGACTTGGACCTCTCCATGCATCCCTCCCCCGGGCCAAGTCAGCCAGGGACAGGCCGGGCCAGCCAGGTGGCGTCGGGGCAAGTCTCCCGGTTCTCGTCAGGTGAGCCGCTTGCCGGAGCTACGCCCACCGAGAGTCGCAGCTGGCACCCAGCCGGGCGGTGCTGCGGGCTCCTGGCCCTGAACCACCCAGCCAGGGAGAGAGGGGAGGGCTGCACAGAGCAGGAGGGAAAGGGCCTGGGCTGTGGGGGGGGGGGTCTCTCAGTGGGACCTAGGGGGTGTCTGTGGGGTGGCCACAAGCGCCAGGTTGCAAGACGTGGGTTGGCGGTGTTGGGAGGACTAGGGGGTATGGAGGTGTGTCGGAGGGGCTGTGTCTGGGCCTCAGGTGTGTTTGTGTGTCCCCTTGTGGTGAGCTGTGTCGCACTGGGGTGTGTGGTTTGGGGGTGTCACCTACACCCACTGGGGAGTGTGCGTG